GCTTTAATCCAATTCTTGAAGTCATGCATCCATATTGCAGGGGTGTGCTTCTATAACTGACACTAAAAATCTTGTTTTGCTCCATGTGTGAATCTCCACTGATGCGAGTAGGAGATTTGCATGAAAAAGAACCACAGTCTCACACCCTGATTATTCTGTAAATAAAAAGCGCCTTTCTTTCCCAGCTGCCCATGCAAGACATATAGTAGCTAACAAGCATTTATTTCCTAAATGTATCCAGCCTCACAGTCTGTAGGAGAAAACAATCTGAAAATTTTTTTTGGTACTTAACATCTGCTTTGACTTCCACAGATTTTCCAGCAAAGCTTTTCATGGTACACAAAAGACATCATACTTGTTTTTTACAGGGTCAACTCAACCTCCCTTTCTTTTGAGGTGGAAAAATTGAACTTTCATGAGGTTACTTTGTATCACAGTTGTTAAGTGTGCGGGCCGGGAGCAACCCGAGCCCTTTTCCGCGCTGCACGCGGGCTGTAGCCAGCAGCCCGGGCACGCCGGGTCAGAGAGGGAAGGCCGTCGAGCTGGAATTAGGCACAGACGCGTATCGGTAGTTTTAAAGATTGTTTACTTACACCGAGATGGCAGTGGTGTAGGCTGGAAAACTTGATTGAGTTGCAGTTGCAGTTACAGACAGACAACACAGACGGTCTTGTGGAGGTTGCTAGGCTCCACGGTGCAGAGCTCCGGATGCTCTGGGTGAACGAGCCACCAAAATAGAAATCGTAGATACGTCTTATAAAAGTCGCGCTCGAAGACGGGAAGAGGTGGGCGATGGATCAGGCCTCCAAGCTCCTCTGGATCTTACACAGGGTTTCTATTACCCTGCCGTGTACCCAGAGTCCCCACGAGATGGATGTAGAGTGCTCTTCGGCTTGGACGGAAACCGCTCAAGCCTCTTATACGGCTAACAGGCCAATTGTTAGCCGCCATGTGTGAATAATTTAGCACTAGCCAATCACGGGGAACGAATTTGCATACCGGTGGCGGGAACTCTTTTGCACCGTGCATTCCTCTTGCAACTCGAGCAATGCACTCTGCAAAAGAAGCTGCAGAAAAGGCGGGAAACTCGTCCCTGCACCGGGGTTTTCCTTTGCAACAGGAAACTCTCCCGTGCAATGCTCTGCAACTTGGCGGGGATAATTCTGGTGCCAAAGCACACACACAATCATGCCTTTTGGGTCATGACATTAAGGAGATTTTCACCGTGTAGGTCTTCTTTGCTCTGTATGGATGACAAAGATAAAAAGGTCCTTTTCACAATAAACACAGCTTGACCCTGTGTCTTTGGTCAAAATTTCCCTCTTCTTCTCCCACTTCCTTTGAACATGCAATGTTTTATAGACTAGCCTAGCCATGTCATCAATCTGTCCCAGAGATGGCTACATCTGATTGGCCCAGTATATACATAGGTCCTGATCTAACTTTACACATGAGTATTTGCATTGAAATTGTTGATAATCATGTGCATAAACACAAGCATATTGTAAGTGTTTACAGAACTGAGGCTATAGTGTTTTACAGTCTCTGACATTAAGATTGAAGGGGTTGGTGGGGATTAACGCCACTGCAAGCCCACTGGGCAACCTTCGTAAATTCAGCAAGCTAAGGCACCCCTACCCTAGCCCCAGAACGATCCGTGGGGAAAACAGGTGCCCCCAGTGAGACACTTGCCTGCCTATACACCAATGCTAGGAGCTTGGGGAGTAAACAGGAGGAACTGGTCCTCCTGCTAAATAAGAATGACTACGACATCATAGGGATAACAGAGACCTGGTCAGACTCCACCTATGACTGGGCCACAGGTATAGATGGCTATACCCTGTACAGGCAAGATCGTGCAGATAAAAGGGGTGGGGGTGTAGCTCTCTATGTCAAGGACAGCTACACACCCCTGCAAATTAACATTGGCACCCAGGAAGGACGACTGGAGTCTCTCTGGTTTAAAATACGTGGGGAATGTGGCACAGGGAACATCATGGTAGGAGTCTACTACAGACCTCCTAACCAGAAACAGGAGCTGGACCAGGAATTCGCCAGGGAACTGGCTGAGGCTGCATGCTCTTGATGCATGGTTGTCATGGGAGACTTTAACTACCTGGACATCTCATGGGGCGAGCATTCGGCCAAATCCGATGCGTCACAAAGCTTCCTCACGTGCATGAATGAGCTCTGCCTTACTCAAGAAGTCTGTGGGCCCACAAGACATAAAGCATTGCTGGACCTGGTACTGGCCAAAGGGGATTACCTAGTCAGTGACCTAAGAATCAATGGGAAGCTGGGTGATAGGGACCACGAGCTGATCACCTTTACTATCCATCGCAAAGCTGGCAAGTTGCTCAGCAATACATAAGTCCTTGACTTCAGGAAAGCTGACTTTGACAAGCTCAGGAGGCTCATTGTCAAGGCCCTAAGGGACCACGACTCAACAGGAAGAGGAGTCAAAAGAGGAGTGCTTGCTCCTCAAGGGAACAATCCTGACAGCTCAAGGGCCATCCCATCTCGGAGGAAGGGTAGCAAAAGGGCTCAGCAACCCCCTTGGCTCAGCAGGGAACTAGAGGACCTCCTACACTTCATAAGAAAGACTTATAAAGGATGGAAGGCTGGAATTACCATCAAGGAGGAGTACTCAGCACTGGTCCGTACCTGCAGGGAGCAGATCAGGAAAGCCAAGGCTGCAACCGAGCTCCACCTGGCTTCACATATCAAGAACAACAAAATGTCCTTTTTCAGATATGTAGGGAGTCAGAAAAGAAAGCAAAGGTAAGATTGGACCCCTACTGAACCAAACGGGACAGCTGATACCCGACATCCAGGAAAAGGCCAGTCTACTTAATGGGTACTTCACTTTGGTCTTTCATCAGTCTAATGGGACCGCCCTGCCTAGCAGGATGCAGGATGGCTAGGGTAAGGGTGTATTTATACCCAGCATCGGTGTTGATCTAGTAAAGGATCACCTTGAGAGGCTGGACACCTTCAAGTCAGCTGGTCCTGACAGATTACACCCTGGAGTACTCAAGGAGCTGGTGGGTGTCACAGCCCAACCATTGGCAAAAATATTTGAAAACTCATGGCACTCAGGTGAAGTACCTGAAGACTGGAAGAAGGCCAATGTGGTACCCATTTTCAAGAAAGGGCGGAAAGTAGATCCCGGGAATTACAGGCCAATCAGCTTGACTTCAATCCCTGGTAAGATTCTGGAGAAAATTATCAAAGAGACCCTACTGGATAAGCTGGCTGACGGCAACATCCTGAGGGATAGCCAGCATGGGGTTTTCACGGGTAGGTTTTGGCTGACCAATCTCATCTCTTTCTATGACCAGGTAACATACCACCTGGACAAGGGAGAAGAGATTGATGTCATATATCTGGATTTTAAAAAATCCTTTGATCTGGTGTCTCATGACCTCCTCATGGAAAAATTGGCCAACTGTGGCCTCAGCTACACCACAGTCCAATGGCTGGGAAATTGGCTCTGAGGTCGGACCCAGAGAGTAGTGGTCTATGGTAGCGAATCATTATGGCACTCCATGACCAGTGGCGTCCCCCAAGGCTCTGTCCTCGGACTGGTTCTCTTTAACATCTTTATCAACGATGTGGACATTGGTGACAGAAGTGCACTGACTAAGTTCACCGATGACACTAAACTTTGGGGCATAGCATCCTCACCTGAGGACAGGCTAGTGATCCAGGCCAACTTGGATAAACTTAGTAAGTGGGTGGATACAAACCTGATGACATTCAATACTGATAAATGTAAGGTACTCCACCTCGGGGGGGAAAAAACCCTGCAGCATGCTTATAGGCTTGGCAGTGCTACACTTGCTAACACCACTGCTGAAAGAGACTTGGGGGTCATGATTGGCCAAGATGAACATGAGCCACCAATGCGATGTCGCAGCTGGTAAAGCTAACCAAACTCTGGCTTGCATCCATAGATGCTTCTCAAGTAAATCTCAGGATGTCATCCTCCTGCTGTACTCGGCCTTGGTGCAGCTGCAGGTGGAGTACTGCATCCAGTTCTGGGCTCCTCAATTCAAGAAAGATGTCAAGAAGCTTGAGAGAGTCCAGAGTAGAACCACATGCATGATCAGGGGGTAAGAGAAAAGGCCTTATGATGAGAGGCTGAGATCCTTGGGACTCTTCAGCCTGGAAAAGCGCAGGCTCAGGAGTGACCTGGTGGCAGCCTATAAGTACATAAGGGATGTACATCATGACCTGGGAGAACATCTGTTCACCAGAGCGCCCCAAGATAAAACAAGGACCAACGGTCATAAACTCCTCCAAGACGGTTTTAGGCTGGACATAAGAAACAATTACTTTACGGTCTGAGTACCCAAAACCTGGAACAGATTCCCTCCAGAAATGGTGCAGGCACCTACTCTGAACTCTTTCAAGAAACATTTGGATGCTTATCTTGCTTGGGATCCTTTGACCCTAGCTGACTTCCTGCCCCTGGGGCATGGGGCTGGACTTGTTGATCTTCAAGGTCCCTTCCAGCCCTAACATCTATGAAATCTGTGATTCTATAGGAATGTAAAATATTATGAATGTATATTATCATAAATAATCAACTAAATTACCTTTGTGGTGGTAGTGGTGGTTTTGCTATTTTAACCAACTAAATTACCTTTGTGGTGGTAGTGGTGGGTTTGCTATTTTTATTCCATACTCTTTTGAGAGATTACTATACATGCTAATTGACAGTTCCGTTAAATGTCAGCACAGATTGTCATACTCTCCATTAAATGATGAAATCATCTCATATTTTTGCTTTAACAAGAATAGAAAACAAGCAGAAACATTTGTTTTTGCTTCTGATCTTTCATGTGTATTGCACATTATATTTCATATATAAAAATTAATACATGTGATGTTAGAGTAATTTAGATACAGTAACAGTTCTACCATTATTCCCTGTTTTATTTATTTATGTATTTATTTAAAATGTTTAATTCCCACATTTCCCTTATCTCTTTCAGGCAAGTATGTGCTTATGGTCCATGAAGTGACCATACCCCCATTTTTGGGCAAGACTCTCCCACCAGCCTTCAAACTCTTAAGGGTTTTGCCAGAGAAAACCAAAAACAAGAAAGCGACCAGCAAGTAAAGAAGGAACATAAACATACAGGAATTCACAGGCTCTGTCCAATGCACACTGTAGTTTGTGAAGGTTTTACCACTGAGTACAATAGGAGTTGGACTGATCCCTTGGGCCTCAGATGCATGTAGGTTTTGAAAAAAGGGGTATACTAACAGCAAAGAAACAATTGACCAACAGAGATCCATTTCACACAGTGTCCTACCTAGTCACATTTTAGATGATACTAAATCGTACATTTTAGATGGTATTTATGAGATGGAGAGAAATGTCTTTGATTAATCCTATTTTTCATCATTATATAAGTTGTATGTATTTTTAACAAAATTCTATTAAAATAAACTGAAAATTCAGGCCACAGTTTGATCAGATAATGATTCCATAACAACTGGTGAACCATCTGAACAGCTAATGGATAAAATCATATATAGCAAATTAACTTTTATGACCATGGTGATCACCTCTCTAATAACACATTTATGAATATATTGTTTTGTGGATAAAAAGTCTTGTTCAGCTAATTCACATGAAAAACACCCATTGACTAAAAGATGACAACCAGACAGCTGTCTTGTCTCCTGAAACTGGCTTCTGTCTTCAGTGAAGGAGGATCAAAGTTAGATTAATTATTCCAGAAAGGCCATTGCCAAATAGTCCATAAATGAAGCTAAACAATGGTAGAGAAGTGTTGAGTTCATGTGGTTGGAACATATTTGGGTTTGATGAGAGTTGCCACTGAACATACAAAGTGTTTTCACGCCAGCTAAACAATCAAGATTCAGTTGTAGAACACCTGAAAGTTGGCAAGCAAAGAGAAAAGGACTGCGTTCTGATCAGAAAAGGGACAATCAAAACAGAAAAAGATTTGAAGAACATCTCTAGAAAATCAATACAGTTAGTATTTGACTAGGGCTTTTCAGTGTTGAAAATGAAACTTTAACTGGAAAAAGTGTGATGGGAGAATGTATATTAAAAAGGCAAATAGGATGAGTTTTTTGATGTGTCTATTCCTTGATCCAGAATGCTTAATTTCCAGACATCAGTTCAGCTTTCCAAAAATTATTTATCAAGATAGAATCCCTAGCTGATATCTGTACTAAGTGCAGTGACTGACTACAAACTGCATAGAGCCTTGATAAGGAAAAACGATCTACTGGCTTTATATGCTGCCAAATACTGGAATGTTCATATATTCCCTGTCTCAAAGACTTTCATTATTTCACTTGAAGAATAAGCCAGAGATCCTCTGTCGGTTTCCACAGTTTAATCTGTTGCCTTCATGTGCACAAGAGAACCTGGCAACTTCTGAAAATGGATGGACAAAATGAATCCTTACAGATAGGTTCAGATTCCAATCACAACACTAAGTCAAGATCATCCTGGTGGCCTTATCTTAATCACTCTCATTGAAGTCAATGGTAAAACTCCTATTAACTTCACAGGGAGCCAGATGAAGCCCTATATCTAACTCAAAACAAGATGGGCAAGCTCACCCTGAGGAGTCTGTATTGGATAGACATCACCTTGGAAACACAGATGAGGCAGTAAATATGTGCTGCAAGGGATCTCGGTAGCCTCTAATGACTTGATTTTTTTCCCTTTTGGGACATGTCAGGACTTCATGACTCAGTTCTTTCACTGTTGTCCATTTTGGGACTTTATGTTTGAAGTCCAAAACTTCATATTTCTCGTCCTTGCTTTGCTACAGTTTTTTTATATTATTTTGTGACAATAATACTAATTATTACAGGTAATAGAAATTAGCCACTTTCTCACATTTTACCTCCAAAAAACCTCAGTCAGTGCATCTCATGAAGTTGTATCAAATCTGAACCAGATAGCTTTGTGAAAGAGATCTAGGCTGAGTAGCTTCGTGAGAGAGAGTCACTAAGCCATCCAAAAGTGCTAATGTTTGATGCAAAAATTACTGGCTGAAAATTTGTCACCTAAATTACACAGAAGTTTAAATTATATTTCATAGACATAGATTTCATAGACATCAGGGCTGGAAGGGACCTCGGAAGATCATCGAGTCCAGGGCCCATCGAGAACAGGCCCTATGAGGAGAGACTTCAGGACCTGGGACTGGGACTGTTCAGCCTGAGCAAAAGAAGGCTGAGAGGCGACTTGATAGCCACCTACAAATATGTCAAGGGAGAACACCAGGACTTGGGTAAACAACTTTTAAGAAAAGCCCCCCCAGGAAGATGCAGACCAATGGACACAAGTTAGTCAAGGAAAAGTTTTGGCTGGACACAAGGAAAAACTTATTTTCTGTATGGGTAACTAGAATCTGGAACACACTTCCAGCAGAGGTGGTACAATCACCATCTCTGGTGGTCTTTAATAGGCTGGATAAATTCCTTGATGAGCTCATTTGAACCCAATTACCTCCTGCCCATGGCAGGGGACCAGACTTGATGATCTTATAGGTCACTTCCAGTCCTTCTTTCTATGATTCTACATAGCCACGTCAACATGAGACACTGACTGCACAGTAGCCCAGACTACTGCTCAGTAGCGTTGTGTGGCAGCAACCATGGCACAATGCTGTGGCACAGTAGTTTTGGGCTACTGCTTAGTCAGTGTCACAAAACTGAGAGTCAGCGCTACTGTGCAGTAATTTGGGTTAATCCACAGTCATTTAGCACTTGTTTATACAATTACTAAATGACTGTGCAGTAATGACTGTGCAGTAACAACTGCACAATTAGCATGTGTAAACTTGGGTAGGGTGTAGCATTTAGTGCTGTGCAAAGCTTCGGTTGCTGATTTGATTCAGTGGATATTTGGCTCGATTCGGTGGCCGAATCTCCTAATCCAAATTGAATCAGAGAACGCTTTAATCTCTCCGAATCGAATCGGAACCCTACGAATTGATTCAGAGAGATTCGGAAACATTCGGCGATTTGGACATAGACACAGCTCTAGGTAGCAGGCGGCTCGGGAGTGCTGCGATACTGGGGTGCATGGAGCGTCCCACAGAAGCACGGGGGACTCCCCAGCGCGCTTGGCAGCAGACCCAGAAATGGACCAGGCACTTCTGGTTGACTTCCGGGTCCGCCAGGGAGTGTGCAGGGGGGCCGACCCCTGCACTGCTGGCTCAGCGATTGGTGCCTCCTGGGTTTGGGGGGGCACCCGGGGTCCCCCTGTGGCCGATCACTGAGCCAGAGAGGCGTTGGGGGGGGGGTGTCCCGAAAGTGGACCAGAAATACTTCCGGTCCATTTCCGGGTTCACTGCCGAGCATGTGGAGGAACACCCCCCCCCCCCCCCCCCCCCCCGGGGGGCGCCCCCCCCCCCCCCCACTTTCCACAAGCCACTCCGGTACCTCAAGGTATGTAGAAAAAACTTTTTAAAAATGTGTCTGTGTCTGAATCGCTGATTCTCTGAATCAGCATCGAATCTTCATATTTGGATTCGGCCGAATCAAATCAGGGACAGTGATCTGAATCAACAAATCGAATCACCGTCCCTGATTCGAGCCAAATCCGTATCCAAATCGAATAGGGCCTGCTTTGCACATCCCTAGTAGCATCTCTATAAAGTAATCATATGGTAGCCTCATGTTTTAAATGTAGAAACAGGTATGGAGCAGTGACACTTGGAAAGAATGTCATAGTACAGTTTGAGAATAGAAACCAGGTATCCTAACACCTAGTCAGTCATATGTTACAAGCACTAGCCATATAACCTAAATTTCATAGATTTCATAGGCATTAGGGGTTGGAAGGGACCTCGTGAGATCATCAAGTCCAGCCCCTTTTCATAGGCAGGAAGTCTGCTGGGGCCAAATGATCTCAGCAAGATATGCATCCAAATGCCTTAGGTGCTTGCACCACCTCTGGAGGGAGTCTGTTCCAGACCCTGGACACTCGGACTGTAAAGAAGTTTTTCCTTATGTCCAGTCTAAATCGGCCTTCCAGAAGTTTGTGGCTGTTAGACCTAGTTATCCCTTAGGGAGTCCTGGCGAACAACTGTTCTCCCAGATCCTGGTGCACACACCCCTTATAGCCTTATAAGCTGCCACCAAATTCCCCCTGAGCCTTCTCTTCTCTAGGCTGAAGAGTGCCATGTCCCTCAAATTTTGCCTTTCCACATCTGACACCCAAATCCAGATAATTTATGAAGATGATGAAGCGTACTGGCCCAAGCACTGAGCCCTGCTTGGGCAGTGACCATCACTGGTCACCTTGCGCCAAGTTGATTTGCTCACATCAACGAATACTCTTTGGGTCTGACCCCGGAGCCAGTTCCCCAGCCATCAGACCGTGAGATGGTTGAGGCTGTAGTTCTCCAGCTTAGTCATGAGGACATCATGGGAGACCAAGTCAAAGGCCTTCTTGAAATCCAGATATATGACATCAACCTCATCTCCATTGTCCAGGCAATGCATCACCTGGTCATAGGAGGAGACGAGGTTGGTCAGGCAGGACATTCCAGCAACAAAGCCATGTTGGTTGGCACTCAGAAAGTTGCCTTCTGTTAGCCTGCTGCTGATAGAACCCTTGATAACTTTGTCCAGGATCTGTCCAGGGATGGATGTCCCTTTCTTGAAGACTGGGACCATGTTGGCTCTTTTCCAGTCCTCCAGTACCTTTCCCAAGTCCCACAAGTCCTCAAATATCTTTGCCGTAGGGCATACTATGATGTCCACTAGCTCCTTCAAGACTCGGGTGCATTCTGCCTGGGCCCGTGGACTTGTGGATGTTGAGCCTCTTGAGGTGTTCCCTTACTTGATCCACATCAATTGTGGGCCCATCTCCTGTCCCCTGGATGCTTTGCATCCTGTCTGACAAAGTGGCCCCTTTGGACGGGTGGAAGACCTACTCAAAGTAATCATTTAGGAGATTGGCCTTTTCCTGAGCGTCAGACGTCAGCTGCCCCAATTGATTTAGCAGGGGTCCAACGTTGCCTTTGTTTTTCCTCCGACTTTCCACATATCTGAAGAAGGACTTTTTGTTTTCCTTGATTCCCATGGCTAGCCTGAGTTTGGTTTCTGCCTTGGTTTTTCTGGTCTGCTCTCTGCAGGTGCGGGCTAGTTCTGTGTAATCCTCCTCAGTGATGAGTCCCATTTTCCATCTGGTGTAAGCTTTTCTTTTTAGTTTCAGGAGGTCCAAAAGTTCTCTATTGAGCCAAAGGGGCTTTCCAGGCCACTGACTGCATTACCTGAAGGTTAGAATGGACTTCCCTTGTGCTTTGAGGATTTCATTCTTAAGGAACAACCATTCCTCATGGACTCCCTTTTCTAAGGGGTCACAGTCTCTTAGCACCTGGCTGACTACTCTCTTGAGTTTCTGAAAGTCAGCCTTCCCAAAGTTGAGGATTTCTGTTTTACTGAGACATTTGCCTGCC